AGAGTTAAATACCATGGAGAGGGAATCATGTATTGATTATAGAGTCTATTTTCAGTTAATTGAATCTTTCAGCTCATAACCAGAAAGCTGCAATCTCACATAATGATTTAAGCATTGCTTCATCTCCTCTACCTTTTTCTAGGGCAGGCCTTCCCCTTCTCTTCCCAGACTACCACTATTTCCCACTAATTAGCTTCCCGTTGCTATTTTTACCTCTCTGCAATTCATATGTCATATTCCAGAGTGATATTTTTACACACAAAAAAAAGTCAGATTCTTTTCTTGCTTAAAATTCTTCAATGGCTTCCTATGGCATTTAGGAAAAAAAAATCTAAAATCTATAATATGGCCTACATGATCATCAGACTGTTCCTCTTTCTTACTTGATCCCAGAAACCCAGGCTGGCTTTCCTCAGTTCCTCCAAATTCTTTCCATTTTCAGGAATCCCGTCCATCCTGCTATTTGGAAAGGTCTTTACCAAACTCTCATGAAGATTCCAGGCCTTCCCTCTTGATCAGATTGGCAAATTACCAGACCAATATATTCTTCCTCCTCTCGGTGAGACACATTTCATTCCCAGCCAAGAGTCGCTCGAAGTGTAAACTTAATTCACAGTCTGGGAAACCTCATCCCATATCACCACCGTCCATCCAATCAGCCCTTCACTTCTCACATCTTCCTTTTCCTTCCAAAGTCTCATCTCAGGTCTTTATGAGTTTCTTGCCTAAGACTTCATAGATATTAGTTACTTTCTGGGATCCCTGAAGACATAGTATTAGCCCTCACATAAAATCAGTAAGTGTGAGTAGTAGTTGGTTGAACTGTCAAAGGAAATTTTCAAAGGAGATAAAGAGAAAGTATTTTAAAAAATCCCTCCCCAATATTGACAAATTGACCTATTATATTAAGATTTCTATTTTATGCAATTTGCCCTATCAGTTTTGTTATAAAATGTACTTTTTATTTTTTATTATATCCATTGTCAAAGCGTCTCTGATAGTGAGGTTTTAACATGATAAATAGAGTTCAATGATTAATTCCGGACTCCTTTTTTTTGGAAACGGTGTTAAGATTGGGTCTGTATCAGGTATGTTTTTTACATGCTTGACTTCATAATCTCTCTTCCTCCCCTATATTGTTTGTCTGGAATTTGCTCTAAAGATAAGGCAGAGTGCAAACCTGACTCACTGGCAACCAATCAGAAGAACTTTATGTGGAAAATTCCCTTCAAGGAGGTACAGTCAGCATAAACAAAATTTTGGAAAAAGTGGAAGCAAAGGTAGAAAAATATAGTTGAAAAGGCCAGGAACAATTGGTGCTTATTTTAATACTATCCTACTTCATTTCCAACATGAAAATTTATGTTTTTCTTTTAGAGAAACACCTAACCAAATATTTATCATGAATGCTCATCCTTTAAAAATTTGTAGATTTTGGTTATACTTTCTTCCGTTATCTTCTCTTTGGTAAATATCTAGGTAATTAGATAAATAGTTTATACTTACTTTGTTTTAACATGATTTAATTTTTCAAATTAGAGCATATGTTTTCAAAAACAATCTCACCAACCAACAGATTTTAGTAAATAAGGAATATCCCAGAAACAGATACTTAAATTGACACATGATTTTTGATAATTATACTTAAAAACTAGGTATTGTTAAAGATCTACATGCCTAACACCCACGTATAGTTGGAGATCATTTAAAGGACTCAATGCTTTCTGGCAATATGATTATTTTGAAACTTGGTCCATAGACTATTGATTTTCATTTTTTTCTTTGAAACTTTGTGAGAATGACTATTTTAAACCTCTATTTTTCAATATCAGAACCAGAAAAACCTGGGAAACTTAAAGCCTTCAATATTTCTGCTCATTCCTTCTGTCTACACTGGAGCCTGTCCTCTGGGCATGTAGAAGGGTATCATGTGGATCTTGTTCCTGACAGTGGCTTTGTTACTATCAAAGATCTTGGAGGTGGAGAATATCAGGTATAGTTTTCATTATCGTACTTGCTGAGCCTACTTGTATTTATATTTGGTCTTAATAAGAAAATTCTTTATTAAATTCATCCACCATGAAAACTTATTCCTTGGAGGGTTTTTAAGACCGTAAGATGAAGACAAAAACGTTAATGTCAAATTGATGAGTTTAAGTTTCAGCATCAGTGGACTGTTACCTTAGCAACATCTATGCTTTTTTTTTTTAAGTTTACCCTGAACCTACAGCCAGCCATCCAAGGGTTCATGAATAGTTTAACAAAGAAAGGGCAGAGCTATTGAGTAATCCAGGCTCATTAATTGTGTACTTGCCAGGAGGATCTGTCTTTAAATCATTAATGCAGGCAACATTTCTCTCTAGAACCATCAATGTGATTCTACTGCCTGAAAAATGTAATAATGATGGAATTTCTTATCGTTTTTCTTTTACTTTTTATTGGGACTTCAGAGACACAGGTATTTCACATATACTCTTTAAAAACAAGGGCTAAGCAATGGGCTGTAGATTTCTTAAGATTCAAATAGATATTACTTGTGACAGTGAACTAGGATAAATAGAAGTACTGATTTAGGCTTTGATAGTGCAGTATGTTTTGTAAATTATTATTTATTTCGTAAGTTATTTGGTAGATAGCTATATGATATAACAAAGTTATATTTTACAATAATAAGGAAACATTGTGATATTTTAAACAGTGCGGAGTTATATAGCAAAATGTTATTTTTTTTTGTTAGTGATAGATTTGTTATTTTAGTTTTCTTGCTTTCCAGGAAGAATTTAAATACAATTATTTGTTTTTGGTGCTCTAGGTTGAGGTTTCCAAAGCTGTTCCTGGTACTAGGTACGAAGTTACAATCTCTTCAATTTCTGCTGCAACATATAGTTCACCTATTAGTAGAACAGTGACAACGAATGTAACCAGTGAGTATATGTATTAAATTACTTTTTAAATAAGGCATTTGGAGTCATTATGATTCTATTGGATGGAAATAGTTATATTGGCAATATGTACATTATATGCATGAGAACAGTGTAGAATAATTAAAACAAAATGGAAACTTGAGAAAGTGATCTGTTTAGAACTTGAGTTCTACTGGTTCTTTAGCTTCTTTTACTTTCAAAGTGCAAAGATAATTCCTCTATCTTGTTTTTAAAATGGATCAGAGAGACTGTTAATGGTAACATTTAATACAGAACCATGAAAATAAATTTACTACATTTGCTCAGGAAGGATTATTCAGCTTGCAAGACTGTTTCTTGTTTTCTTAGTTTTTGTAAGTCTTGCATTAAGCAAGTTTCTTTTAAAAATGACTTGGCATCAAAAGTATATTTGGCATGTAGTATGTAGTAGCATTTCATATTTTACATTCTTATAAAAGAATGTTTTTGGTATTCCCTAAAGTATTTAATCTTT